GATTGTTGTCTGGCTCTCCCTTCCTCTGTGGGAAGGTCTTCCCTGCCACGCAGGGCCCCATCCTCTGGGCCTGTTCCAGGGTATAGGAGGGAGGTCAGCAAACCTCCAGGCTCTGGTGTGGTAGTGGTGGAGGTTGTTTGCAGAGAGAGTACCTGGGCCCTTGGAGCCTGAGGGAGGACCTGCCCCTTCAGACAGGGCTCTTTCCAGCCGGCAGGGTGGCCAAGACTAGACAGGGCAGGTTTGGGAGTTGGTTTTGGGGAAGGAGCCCTAGAGTGCCGTGGTTGACCACCCTGTGGCCAGCCAGGAGGTCAGCAGTTCAAACCCACCTGCTGTTCATGGGGAGCCAGAGGCGGCTGGCGGCATCTGTAAATATTTCGGCCTCAGAAGCCCTGAGGGACACTTCTTCTCTGCCCTGCAGGGTCACAGCGAGTAGGAATCACTCAGTGGCAGCCAAGTTGGGTTTGGGGGTTTTCTGCAGGAACTGTTCAGAACAACTCCCTTGTGGGGGAGATGGTAGCTGGCGGTCACAGCTCCCGTGGGCTACCCTATAAGCAGAGGCATGATCACATATGTACACTGCATGTTTGTCCCATGCTGGTGCTTTTCCTACGGTGTCTGGTTCATGCCTCCCCACACCACAAGAGCAACCAGACAGCCTGGGTTCAAATCCTGGTTCCTTCCCTTCCTTTTTGGAAGTGGTGGGTGACCTTGCTGTACCCCAGTATCCTCACCTGTTAAACGGGATTTGGGTAAAACCCACCTCATAAGCACAAAGTAAAGGTAGATGTCAGCAGCCACTGCTGTCATCTCCCTCATCACTCTCTTCCTCCTCATCGCCGGCTTTCAGATACTGAAACTCAGGTGGAGGGGTGCCTGGTTCGAGGTCATCCAGCCAGTGAGGGGTGGAGCCAGGCCTGGAAGCCATGCTGGTCTGTGCGTGTGGCCACCTTGCTAGAGCAGTGTGCGGTGTCTTCTTAACTGTGACTTTTGAGGCAGTGGAGGGAGTTGGGAGCAGGGGCCCTGAGGAGGGACTGGGACCGTTGGGCATATGTGTGGAGCTGTTGATAGGGGCCCTTATCTCTGCTGGCATGGTCCTGGATGACAGGCTGGCAGTTGGTGCTTGCCTGGCAATCTCCCCAATATCTCAAGGCGGAGCCGATCCCTTCCTTCTTGGGCCGCTCTCTCAACGCACTTGCTCTATGGGCGAAATCCTTTCCAAGGAGCCTTGGTGGCACAGTGCGTATGCATTGAACTGTGATCTGCAGGCATCCGTTCGAAACCCCAGCTGCTCCTCGAGAGAAAGACGATGCTTTCTACTCCCGTGAAGAGTTACAGTCTTGGAAACTCACAGGGGCTCTTCTCCCCTGTCTCCTAGGGTCGCTGTGAGTCAGCATTGACTCCATGGCAGTGGGTTCAATTTGGTTTGGTTCCCTGTGGGATAAGCATTGGGCTGCTAACTGCTAGGTCGGCAGTTCAAAACCCACCAGCTGCTCTTGCAGACAGATGAGGCTGTCTACTCCTGTAAAGATTTACAGCCTAGGAAACCTTCCATCGGCTCAGCATCGACTTGATGGCAGTGAGCATTCCCTTCACTAAGCAGAGAGCCCTGATGGTGTAGGGGGCGAAGCCTTGGGCTGCTGAAGAAAAGGCTGGCTGTTCAAATCCACTAGCAGGTCTGGAGGAGAAAGATGAGGCAGCGTGTTTCCGTAGAGAGTACAGCGTTCGAAACCCCAGGGAGCAGTTCTTCTCTGTCCCGTAGGGCCCTTCATTGAAGGGTCCGAATGAACTCCACAACTCGTGCTTTGTTTGGGGCTGCACTGAATGTCAGAGCCAGGAGGTGAGAACTTTCTTGCTATTTTGTTCACAAGTCTATTCCCAGAGCCTGGGTGGAGGAGCTGTCCAGCGGACAAGTGCTGAATGAATGAATGAATGAATCAGCAGTGCTCTCCAGGGCCCCATAACACAAGGTGTGCATGGCAGAGCTGGGGTTTAGCTCCAGGCTGGGTGACGTGGTGACTGTGCGTGGTTCCTTCTGTGCTGACTTCTCTCATTTCTGCCCCTGGCTCCAGGAGCTGGCTAAGAGGACCCCCGGCAAGCACCCAGACCACCCTGCAGTCCAGAGCGCCCTGCAGGCCATGAAGACCGTGTGCTCCAACATCAATGAGACCAAGCGGCAGATGGAGAAGCTGGAGGCCCTGGAGCAGCTGCAGTCCCACATTGAAGGCTGGGAGGTGCGTGTGGCCTGGGAGGGGGCACTCAGGCTGGAGAGGGGCCCAGGAGATGGCCGGCCGTGGGTTAGTACAGGTTAGTACCAGGGGGTAGATGCTTTGCTTGAAAGAAATATTAAGTCGTCTTCTAATTCGGTTTCATAAAAGTACAGATTTTGAGCTTTTCTTGACCAGTGAGTTACCACACTGGACCCCCATTTCCCACAGTAACAATACCAGGAGCAGGCTCTCCGCAGCCCCCTCTACTTCCGGTGACTCCCCTCTCAGGCTTCTTCACATGTTGGCTTACCTGCCTGCTAGCCACCGGCCTCTACACGCTTGTAAAATGTGGTGATCATGTGTTGTCCATTCTAGGAGTTGAATTCTGGCTTTGACACTCCCTTGTGGGGTGACTTGGTGGTGTAGACGTATCATGTTGGGCTGCCAACCACAGTGTGAGCAGTTCAAAGTCACCAGCTGCTCCTCAGGAGAAAGAGGAGGCTTTCCATTCCCTTAAGAAGCCACAGCCTAGACTCTCAGATGGGGCAGTTCTGCGTCGCCTGTGGGGAGGTTGTGAGCTGGAATTGGCTCGATGGCAGTGCGTGGGTTGCAGGGGGGCTTCGGGCACATCTCTGAGCTTCTCTGACCTTCCTTTGGTGGTGCCCCTTGCAGAGTAGGTACTCCAGAAACGGCAGGTGGTCACACAAGGGAGTTTCCAAAGTTTGTTTCCGTTATCTTTGATTTGCATTTTTCCATGAAATGCTTGAGGCCCCTTGATGAGCGTTGTCACTCTTGTCAGGGCGTGGCATTCCTGAGCTGCTCTGTTCTCTGGTTGATGCAGCTTGCTTGTTTGAACTCCTGGCTCATCCTGGGATGAGTAGAGATTTCCTACAAATCTGGAGACTGGTGGATGGAATTGGAGTAAATCTAAGTGCATGGTGGAGTGAGCCCAGCTGGACAGGGGGAGGAAGGACAAAGAGGAACAACCGCTGGATGGAAATGGGACCCAGCTCCATTGGCCTCAGGCCCCTGGGGACTGCTCAGTCTGTGGGGCACTTGCTATGTTCAGGGTCCCCTGGCTGTTTCATAGCCCGGTGGAGGCGTCGCTGCAGAGAGGAGAGGGGTCTGTTCAGAGAGGAGGGAGACCCTGTGGCTGAGCACTTGGCACATGTCCTGTCCTCCTGCCCCAGGGTCTTCCTGCAAAGAACTGCAGCCCCCAGAATCCCTTGCAGCCCAGGTTTGGGATGTCATGTGGAGTTTGGCCAGACTCAGATCCAGTTCCTTTAAGCCTAGTTGTGCATGCACTTGGCTTTCTGTGACACCATTGGCAGAGGCCCCCGGTTCCTGCCTCCTGGGTGTCAAGAGGCAGGGCATGGGCTATCTGGTGTTGGGTTGCTTTGTGCATCTAGCAGGCACAGGCTGGCTCTGCCACTGGCAGTTACTGAAGCCTTGATGCTGCCTGGGTGATGCCCTCCTGGAGGACCAGCTCGGACAGGTGGCAACCTGAGTCTCCTTTGTCTCATCGGTAGCAGAGTGACACCCCCCCCCCCCCCCCCCCCCCCCCCCCACACACACACACACACACACACACACACACACACACACACACACACACACACGGGCCACCTGTGCAGGGCTTTGGTGTTCTGGGAGCCCCAGCCTGGAGTCCTGGTTCCTTTAGCCCTGTCAGTGACTAAGTGAGCTTCTCCTTCCCACTGGCTTAAAATATGTAGCTTAGTTTCTGTTTTCTGTAACAAAAAGCTGCTTGATACTCAGGTGGGCCACTCAGAGGCATTTTCCAAAGACTTTCACCCCGGCTTCCTGAGGCTCCTTGTGTGATCTTTTAGGCCTTCCCCTGTTCCGAGATGGCAGCAGCTCCAGGTATTACATGTTCAAAGCAGGAAACAGATGTGGTGGGGCAGCAAGAGGTTGCTGTCTTTTGGAGTGGATGAAAACTTTCCGTACGTGTCATTCGCAAGAGCTGGGTCCCCGTGGACAACATGCTAACCCTGGGAGGAAATAGAGATGACTCACTTAAATATCTATCTGTTGGGGCTCGGAGCTTCCTGGCAGCCAAGGTGAAAAGAACAGTACACATGTTGCCTAACATTCCTTGTTGAAAAGGGAAGAAATGGAGTAGTTCTTCTGACAGACGCAGCATTTCCTGACATGCGGCTGGATAAGGAATTTCCCACATGAGGGAATTGGGCAAGCTCCTTGAGAACAGAGCAGAAGTGATTTTTAGATGATCCCTGCTACGTGAGAGCCTAAGGACGTGAACTAAGGGTCTCCGGGACCCTCTCTGACCCTAGAAATCTGTAGGCTTGGAACTCCGTGACCCTGACTTTGATCATCATTTCTGAGTAGCGTGGGATATAAAGTGGCTGGCTGTTATCAAGCATGTATTTCATGCTTCCAACTCTGTGGTGTTGCTAACTTGGTCCTGACTCATAGTGGCCTGATATGCAACAAACTCACATGCTACCGGGTCCTGGGCCACCCGCATCATTGTTGCTGTGCATGAGCCCATTGCTGCAGCCATGCTGTCAATCCATTTTAATAACCCTCTCCTTTAGTAAGCATGGTGGGTGTCCTTTGCTAGGGACTAGTCCCTCCTGATAAAAAGAACCCTGGTGGTGTAGTGGCTACACACTGGACTCTGATCCACAAGGTCAGCAGTTCAAAACCTCCAGCTGCTCCTTGGAAGAAAGATGGGGCTTTCTATTCCTGTAAAGCAGCAGTTCTCAACCTGTGGGTCTCGACCCCTTTCACAGGGGTCACTTGATTCATAGCAGTAGCAAAATTATAGTGATGAAGTAGCAACAAACATAATTTTATGGTTGGGGGGGAGTCACCACCACATGAGGAACTGTATTAAAGGGTCGAGACATTAGGAAGGTTGAGAACCACTGCTGTAAAGAGTTACAGTCTCAGAAACTCACAAGGGAAGTTCTACTGTGTCCTATAGGGTCACTGTGAGTTGGCATCCACTCAGTGGCAATGAGTTTGGTTTTTGGAGTCTTTAAAAAATCTTTTTATTGGGAGATTGTACAGCTCTTATCACAATCCATCCATCCATCCATCCATTGTGTCAAGCACATTTGTACATATGTTGCCATCATCATTTTCAAAACATTTTCTTTCAAATTGAGCCCTTGGTATCAGCTCCTCCTTTCCTCCCCCACCCTTATTCCCTTATGAACCCTTGATAATTTATAAATTGTTATTAATTTTTCATGTCTTACACTGATTAATGTCTCCCTTACCCACTTTTCTGTTGTCTGCCCCCCTGGGAGGGGGTTATATGTTGATCATTGTGATCAGTTCACCCTTTCTTCCCGCCACCTTCCCCTTCCCCTCCTGGTATCACTACTCTCATTATTGGTCCTGAGGGGTTTATCTGTCCTGGATTCCCTGTGTTTCCAGCTCTTATCTACCAGTGTACATGCTCTGGTCTAGCCGGATTTGTAAGGTAGAAGTGGGGTCATGATAGTGGAAGGGGAGAAGCATTAAAGAACCAGAGGAAAGTTGTATGTTTCATTGGTGCTACACTGCACCCTGACTGGCTCGTCTCTTCCTTGTGACCCTTCTATAAGGGGATGTCCAGTTGTCTACAGATGGGTTTTGGGTCTCTACTCCACACATCCCCTCATTTGCATTGATATGATTTTCTTTGCTCTGGGTCTTTTATGCCTGATACCTGAATCCTATCGACACCTCATGATCACACAGGCTGGTGTGCTTCCATATGGACTTTGCTGCTTCTCAGCTAAATGGCTATTTGTTTATCTTCAAGCCTTTAAGACCCCAGATGCTATATCTTTTGATAGCCAGGCACCATCCACTTTCTTCATCACAGTTGCTTATGCACCCATTTTGTCTTCAGCTTATGCACACATTTTGTCAGGAAGGTGAGCATCATGGAATGCCAGGTTATTAAAACAAAGTTTTCTTATGTTGAGGGAGGACTAGAGTAGAGACCCAACGTCCGTCTGCTACCTTAATACTTAACCTATAAATATATGTATGTAGACCTATTTGCCTATTGTCATATATAAATATATTTACATGTGCACATGTAAGGCTGTAATCTTAACAAAAGCAAACTGCCCCCACCTCCCACCCCCAGCCTGGCTGGCCGATCCCTCTGCCGTGGAATGTGGCCTGCAGGAGGCTGGCACCTGAGAAGGGGCAGTCAGTTCTTGGCCACTTCCTTTTGGGTGGCCTCACCTGTCTTCTTGTTGGGTCCCCAGCCCTTGCCCTTTCTTTGCCATGGGGACTGCTTTTGTTCAAATCAGAGGAACTGATCTGCAAGTCCTTTTCACTGAGCCCAGGGGATGCTCTGGGCTGCTCTCCGAGAGGTTGGCAGTTCAAGCCCACCAGCTGTGCCGAGGGAAAAAAGGGTGGCGATCTGCTTCCCTCTGGATTTGCAACCGTGGAGCTCTTCGGGTCACTGTGGTCCCTGGGCGTGGGGCTACTAAACACAAGGAGATGGCAGGGCCTTGAAGGGAGTGAGCAAGCCAACCCTCACTGCTCGAGTTTCCCCATCTGAGCAGTCTGGATCTTGGTTGCACCCCCTCGTGGGCCGTGGTGAGGACCGGGAGTGTCCGAGTGCTGCCTGGTGTGGAGCTGTGCAGACAGGATTTCGTTCTTCCTCCCGAGGATGGAGAAGCCGCCCGTGGCTCTGGGGAGACCTCACCGCCAGTTCGGGCTGGTGCTCCTCAGAGGGACATCACAGACCGGAGCCCTTCCAGCTGCCGTGCGAAGCTCTAAGCTCTCTGCAGTCCTGGAAAGAAAGGACAGGCTCGGAATAAGGAAGAAATGGTGTGGCTCCCTTGCTGGTCAAGTGGCCATCAGCTGCTCACCCACCCCAGGGGAAGGAAAGAGACGGACAGGAGGAAGCCTCTAAGCATTCAGACTGCTGGAGGGCAGCTCTCAGAGGTCCTGCCCTCACTCCCGCTCTTGTGTTAGGCTGGATCACAAGAGAAACAAATTCACTGACACTCGTGTGTGTCCGAAAGAGCTTTATATCAAGGAGTAATTGGATATCAAGAAAACATCCAGCCCAGTCCAAGTTAAGTCCATAAGTCTGATACTAGTCTTTAAATCCCTTTCAGACTCATGCAACCATCAGCAATGATGCAAAATGCAGCAAGATGACAGGCCGGTGGGTGCAAAGTCTTGTGGATCCAATGGAGGTGGACGCATCTCCAGGGCTCCCGCAGGTCTCTGAGTGGCTACCAACAGGAAGGTGAAGCAGAGAGAGGGGGGGGGATGTCCCCAGGACCCTCCTTACCAGGAGGTGACACAAGGAGGCCATCAAGCCAGACACCACCCCAACACTTCAAGTTGACATGAAATTATGTAACTATCACACCCTCCCTGGGATCATATTGCCATGCATTCTCTGGATACATGATCTCTCCCCTTTGGGGACCCCTGCTTTAGGCCAAAGGAGCACATCAGGCTATGTATTGGGCTGGTCACCACAAGGTTGGTGGTTCAAACCCATCAGTCACTCTGCAGGAGGAAGACGAGGCAGTCTGCTTTCACAGGATGAACAGCCTTAGAAACCCCTAGGGGCCACTCAGCCCTGACCCAGAAGGTCACTCTGAGTTGGAATTGACCCCACACCAGTGGGTGGGTCTGAGACTGGCAGCCCTATGGAACAACTCTGAGGCTGTCCTCTGAGAGGCAGCTTTGGGCAGAGCTGAGTGGGTAGGCAGGCCAGGGAGTGGGTGCGACTCCCAGCTTGCCTCCTTCCTAGCGGTGTGACTTGGGGGACAAGGCACTACACCGTTCCAGGCCTCCATTTTCTCATCCGTGGCAGGATGCCAGATGTTACATGCAACGTTTATTTATTGTGGCTTCTGTTTCCGTTAGCCTGTGTTATCCGGAGCGGGGTCTCAGTGGGTGTCTTGATGCTCCCCTTCTGCCCTGTGTATCTGTTTCTTAGAATCACCATTCCCAGGGCCTGAGGACCCTGCACTGGGATTCTTGGATGCTGCATGACCAATAGCTGCTGGGCTCTGAGACTCCGAGATTGGTCGGTGGTGTGCCCAAGTGCATGCCCACGTGGTGAGGGCACCATTCCATGCTGTACAGCTGCTGGTCACAGGAGGCTGGTTCCCCGGGACCCTGAGTGGTTGTGGGGCGCATAGTGTGCCGTGTCCAGTCAGCCCCCGTGGCAAGAGAAAGACCACGGGGAGATTGCTTCATTAGCTGCATCTTCGACATCACTGAGTCAGCAGATGGGGCCAGCAGGCCTCACCAGGGTCTGGGGTTTTGTTTTGTTTTCCCCTCAAATGAAAACCGAATCATTGTTATTTTTAAAAAGAAACTATTGGTAATGCACCAATCTTCCTAATGACCATTGTAATTTTACATTATTTAGGCCTCTCTCTGTACTGCTGTACAAATGGCATTTCTTTTGAAAACGTGGGAGCCTCTGTAACTATGGTTTCCTAGCCTGTCTTTTTGGTTTTCCCATGAGTGACCCGGGGTGGGGGGGTGTTTTTCACAGCAATAAATTTAGATCCATGCCATCATTTTTCATGGTTGTACCATCAGTTATTGACCTGATTACTCTTTTTTAACATTTTAACACTTTTATTGACATATAATTCACATAGCATACAAGTCAGTGCTTCACCATATTAAAAAGAAATGACTTGTGCATTCATGACTGAAACCAAGTTTAGAATATTTTCTTCCTTCTGCTGCTCAGTGTTAGCTACCCGTGTCACCCGAACTCCTCCACCGTACTCCCGAGACATTATCCATCGAGTCGCTGTCTCGGTAGCTTCGACTATCCTGGATTTCACATGAAGAAAAACATACACAAAACAAAGCCCAGCAACCAGAACAAGAGAAAAACCTCAGGGAAAAGGAAAGCCGCAAATAATCAAAACTAGAACAGACTTAAAATGGGTCAAAAGGGAGAACAAGTGATAACGGTGTTAAAACAACCTCACTCCGTCTGCAGGAGTCCTCTTGCCGATGCTCTCTGTCTAGCAGCAGGCTGTTTAGATCGCTGATGAGTGCTTAGGGGGATTCTCGGGAGGCTTTTCCTGTGGGGACCCTGCCAATGGATTTTGGGCCCTACCATCCAGCATGACGACGCTGCTCTTGACAGTGTTTAGAATGGGTTTGTTTCTGTCACTCAGCAGGCTGCTGCTTGTTGCTTCTGACTGTTGAGGATTGGGGGAAGGGGGATCTTGTAAAACAACCCCCTCGCCCCCACTTTCTTTCCTGAAGTCATGTCTCAGTGGGATAACATCACGCCTCTTTGTACCCCTGTCTCCCTGTAATCTTCAGGCCGCCAAAGGAATCCCCCTTAGAACATTGCCTGACGGTCCTGCCCCTCCATGGCACTGCCATCTGTTGGCCTACAGCCTCCTCCTTTTATTATTATTTTAGCTTCTTATTGGGATGTTAGGGGAAGGCTTGTAGAGCAGATCATGAATTTTACAACCAATAGTTTATACACATTTTGTTTCAGCACATCCACTTCTATCCCCTCAATGCACCACGACTTACCCCACTGCCTCTGGAGTTTCCCGTTTCCTGAAAGAGGAGGCTGTCTGCTTCCGTAACGGCTTGCAGCCTCAGAAACCCAACGAGGCAGCTCTGCTCTAGCCTGGATGGGTGCTAGGAGCCAGAATCGACTGGGTGGCAGGGCCGTTGGCTTGTTGTTGTTGGGTGTTTGGGTAAACGCCGCCTTCTGGTTCTTTAATGGTTGACTCTTCTCATGTCGGGGTGAGTTCAGATCCTGACCTGAAGAGTGAGGAAGGTCCATCGTCTTGGGGGTCCCACCAGTCTCTGTTGACCAGTAAGCCTGGTCCCTTTGATGCTTTTGAGTGCAGGGCCACATTTTCCTCCCACTCTGTCCAGGACCCTCTACTGGGATTCTTCTCTGAGCATTTGGTGGTGGCATTGGGGCACCAGCTAGTTTTTCTGCTCTGGGGACTGTGGAGACTGATGTCTTTGTGGTCCAGTAGTTCACTGGACTCCTTGTTTCCGTGGCTCTTTCGATTTTTATCCACCTTCTTTCCTTAGACTGGGGGAAGGCCTGTATTTGCCCCTTAGGTGGCTGCTCATGAGCTAGTGACCAGAGTAGGCATACGTCCCTGTCTCGATGTGTTAGTGACAGTACTTGACTGCCGCAAGTAGGAGACCCCAAATGAGGTGAAGAGTCACGGGTGGTGCCAACGGTTCATGCGCTCAGCTGTTCACCGGAAGGTTGTAGGTTCACTCCCACCCAGGACACCTCAAAAGAAAGACCTGGCAATCAATTTTTGAAAAATCAGCCACTAAAACTCTATGGAGCACAATTCTACTGTGATATCCATGGGGCTACTTTGAGTTGGCATCGACTCTATGCCAACTGGTGGCATGAGAGGAACATTTATTTCTCAGTTGCAGTACAGAGGCGGGTGGTGCTGGCTGGGGGTGGAGGTTGGGGTGGCCCGGCTCTGCAGGGTCCCAACTTCCTTCTACCACCACCTTCATCAACTCTTAGGGCAGTGGTTCTCAAGCGACCCTTGAATACAGTTCCTTATGTGGTGGTGACCCCCCAACCACAAAATTATTTTCGTTGCTACTTCATCACTGCCATTTTGCTACTGTTATGAATCGGGTGACCCCTGTGAAAGGGTCATTTGACCCCGTTTAAAGGGGTCGTGCCCCACAGGTTGAAAACTGCTGTCTTAGGGTGTAACCCACCGCCACTGTGGTAGACGAATGGAGACAGTTGGCTTTCCAGGAAGTGATGCCGAAGTAGGGCACAGTGGTGGTAGTCACATGACTTCACCTGGTGCTAGGAAGGCTGGGAAGTGTGGTTTCATGGGGCAGTCCGGGACCAGCTGGACTTCGACTCGTGAAGGATGAGGACTGGGATCAGGGTGGCCTTTGTGGCGTTCCCATGCGCTCTGCGGCCTCTTTTCTCAGCTCTTTGGGTCTTCTCCAGCTAGATCCCTGTGGTCCTCAGCGCCTGAGACTCCACCCAGCTGGGGTCTTCCTTGAGATCTTCAGCTTCTTAGGTGTGTATTTCTAATTTCCAAAAAAGCTTTTTGTTTGATGGCATGGATTATATTACTCCTGGGGTGCAGCCATCACCCGAATCCGTCTCGATGAACAGATACTCATGCTTCTCAAGGAGTGTTTCCCCCTTTCCTCCCACCCTCCCACCACGGGGAACCAGGAGTGCACTTTGATCTCCATACATGTGCGTGTCCTGGGGACTCGGCGGAAGAGGGCTCGTGCCTGTTGGCTCTTTTGTGAGGGACCGTGTTTTCAAGGCTCATCCCTGGACTCATCTCCCTGCAGGTCATTAGCCTCTGTACTCCTCCCTGACACCTTGTCTTCTTTTCCCACATTCCCTGGACCTCATTCCCATTCAGGAAAGGTCCTGCTCATTTGGTGTCTCAGCCATGCCCCCATCACTTAACACCCATGGCTGGTCGAATTAGGGAACTCCCACCCTTTGCTAGACTCCACTGGCATCGAATTTGTCACCCACTCAACAAGCTTTTATTGAGCACCTACTGTGTGCCAGCAAGTATTCCAGGCACACAGTAAGCCACTTTACCCTGTGGCCCTAGGATGTCCCTCAAATAGAAAACTGTCACATCCTTAGGATTGTTCACCCTGTTCCACAGATGGAGGTCATTGATCAAATGGCATTTGGTTTTCTGTCTGCAGATTGGCCCACTGAGGTGCCCCTGGGCTTTGGGGGTGGGGTGGGCCAGTGTGCCTCTGGGGAAGGAAGGCGTGTTTCTGACTCGCTCTCTAGCTCACTCCTCCTTCCCTCCTAGGGCTCCAACCTCACGGACATCTGCACCCAGCTGCTTCTTCAAGGGACTTTGTTAAAAATCTCTGCGGGCAACATCCAGGAGAGAGCCTTTTTCCTCTTTGACAACCTCCTTGTCTACTGCAAGCGGAAATCCAGGTGAGCTGCCGGGAGCCTGGGGGCAGGGCTCCTGGGTGGGCTGAGAAGTTGGGATCGGTCTAACCTGGTGGTTACTTTCCTGGACTCACACCTCGGGCTGGACACTTCCTTCTCAGGACGCTCTCTTCTTTAAGTTGAGGGGTTTGTTCTAGGTCAGTGCCCTTTAGAGGAAATGTGATGTGAGTCCCATATGTGTTTGGGACTTTCCAGTAGCCACATTAAAAAATATCTTAAAAGATATGGGTGAAGTGAATTTAATTAAATGAATGGGTGAAATGAATTTACATAATGTCTTTTCATTAACCCAATTTATCCCTGAACTCACAGCCATTGAGTAGATTCTGATTCACGGCTACTCTATAGGATGAAATAGAACTGCCTCTGTGGGTTTCTGAGACAGTAACTATTTATGAGAGTAGAAAGCCAATGTGGATAAAGTGCTAATAAAATTGTTAAAAAAAAAAAAAAGCCTCATCTCTCTCCTGCAGAGTGGCTGGTGGTTTCGAACTGCAGACCTTGGGAGTTAGTAGTCCACCACATATCCCACAATAACACCAGGGCTCTTGCAAAAAATGTATCTCAAGTAACCCCATAATCCTAAAGCATTACCATTTCAGGAGATAATAAATTAAAATTTGGTGAGATTATTTTACACTCTGTTTTTTATACCAAGTCCAGGGTGGGCTTTGTACTTAGAGCGTATGTCAGTTTGGGCTGGCCGCATTTCAAGCGCTCAGTAGACAGATGCGGCCTCGAGTATCAGCCGAGGCACCTGATTTTACCACAAAAACTGCAGAAAAAATGTGTTGAAAAACTTGGCTTACCCTCCAGTATATACGGTAGATCTAGATGCTGGTGGAAGTTTGGAGCTTCTCAGTGATACCAACATCTTGGAATTCCAGGATCTTAGGCAGGAGGCTTGGGCAGCGGGGGAGGGATCTTCTACCCATTAAGCTTTTTGAGGAAGAGCATTTTCCTCCTTGCAGTTGGTTGAGTCTAAGAACTACTGGCTTGGTGACTGGATGGCTTGGTAGATAGATGCAGACGTGTGTGTGGTGGGATGGATGGAGGCTTTGGAGGTGAATGGGGGGTAGATGAAGGGAGGGAATGAGAGGGGGATCTGGATGGATGAGTGAATGGTTGAACAGTTGGAAATCCAGGAGCTGTCCAATTGGGTGGATGGATGGAGAGTTGGGGAACATATGGATGTTTGAATCACTGCAGGAATGGATATACAGGCTTGGTAAAGTGGTAGAAGCCTGGTGAATTGGAGGCTCTAATGTATAACCAAGGAGAGAACAGGTGGATGGGTGGTTGGTGGCATGGTCATGTGTTAGGACCATAGGTGGGTGATATGAGGGGGCTTCAAAAAGTTGGTGGGGAAGCAGGAGTGAAAAGAAAATGGAATTTTCCCACAAGCTTGCAGAAGTTGGGGGAGGAGTGGGTAGTCTGGGTGTGCTGCTGGGTGGGTGGTAGTTGAGGATGTGGTGGCTGGACTTAGGTGTGGCATTTTGGGTAACAGGGTGAAGGGTTGCATGACGGTTTACAAAGAAGGAGAGTTAGGCAAAGGGGTGGGCAGGCGGTTGGCAGATTTGGGGTGCGAATGGGGCTGGGTAGGGGGGTTAGATTTGTGGATGGCAAGCTTCCTGCCCTTTGGTTTCTTCCTCAGTAGGTTGGGCCCCACTGACCAAAATAGCTCTTCCTCAATTCCTCTTCCTGTTACTTTGTCTCAAGGCTAAAGTGGTCACTTTGCCCAGGCATCTTCCTCTTTGATCTAGAAAGATCTAGAGCCAAAGGCGGCGAGCCAAGCCCTGCTGCCAGCATGGCCTGCGACTCGCTCGAGTGGCCTGGCCGTCACTCTTCCTCATCTGCGTCTTCTGGCCTCCCACAGTGGTAGTGAGGAAGACGAGGGGTGGAGGGTGGGCGTTCTGCATGCACAGGTGGGCCTCTCTCTGTTTCCCTCCTTCAGCTGCACCCCTCTGCGCCTCAGTCTCCTCATCTGTAACATGGGGCGAGAACCTCCTTTTCACGATAGTGACTCACTAAGGTCCAGGCCCATCTTGATGGAGTCCCTGAGCCTTCTAGCTTCCCCAGCTCTGTGCTTTCGCCTCTGTGCCTGAGTTTCCTCTTCTGGGAGACAGACGCAAGGATCACGTCCACCTCAGAGGGCCTGTGTGAAGGTTACATACGGGGCACCTTAAAACTTGTGACTTACTTGGTAGGGCATCAAGGCTCACTGCCATGACTGCTCCTGCTGGCATCCTTCCCCGGTGTGGCCGGTGGACACTGCCCCCGGCGCCCAGTCAGAGTTTTAACCACAAACGTTTCCCCTTCCTGGGTGGAGGCCTCAGACGGCTTCTCTGACCCCCTCCTGTCTGCTTCAGCCCCTCTTTTCCCCGCCCACCCCTTTAGGTCTGCCTGGGTGGGTCCCCCTGTCCCCCGACTCCTCTCCCACTATTGTCTCCTTGCGTGCTCCTGTCCTTGCGGCCCATCCTCAGAGTCCTCTTTCGGCAGCGTCCACCCCAGCCTTTTCTTGCTGCCCTGCCCTGGCCTGTCCGAGGAAGGTATTTCTCCCAGAACACTGGGGTTTGGAAAACAGAAGGTCCCTTCAGGCCTCTGTGGTGGCTCCCAACTCCTGCGGGTGTTTGCCCAGCCCTTGGCTCTGCCCATCTGAAGGCCCATCGGCCCGATGGGTGAGGATCGGCTCATTCCCGTTGTGTTGGCCGCCAAGCGGGCCTGGCAGGGGCCTGTCCGTGGCCACCACAGCCCCTTTAAGGCCGTTCCCTGCCTCTGCTCTGGAAGGAGCCAGGCTGTCCGGAGGGAAAGAGCACATCTGTGTCCAGAGAGAACCTGGCAGCCACTGGCATTCCTACCTCTGGATAGGGAGCCAGAGCTTGGGCTCTGAGAGGTCCCAGGCCTGGGCTGTGATGGATGGAGCTCTGGACCTGGCTCTGGTGTGGTCCTAGGACATGCCTGGAGCAGCTGGGGGCCTGCCCACCGAGTTCTGGCCTCTGCCCAGTTCACGCAGGGTGCTGCCTGTTGGGGACATGGGTCACCGGAGGCCTCTGACTCAGTGTTTCTTCTGATTTAATTCAAAATGTCAGAAGTAGGGGGGGAGGGTCTTTGATGTGCCCCTTCCCCCATTTACAGGAGGAGAAACTGAGGCCCTCAAAGCTAAGTCTCAGGTAGCTCAACTGCCTGCTTTACCACCTTAGGGGCTTACCAGCACTGTGGCTTTGGTCTCTGTGGGCCTCTGTTTTCCCACCTGTGCAATGGGGCTAAAAGTAATCCCCCCTCTCCTGGAAGTGTCCTTCTAGAGCAGTGGTTCTCCACCTTCCTCATGCTGTGACCCTTTCATACAGTTCCTCCTGTGGTGGTGACCCCCAACCGTAACATTATTTTCGTTGCTACTTTATCACTGTCATTTTGCTACTCTTATGAATCATCATGTAAATAGCTGATAGGCAGGATGTATTCTCATTGTTACAAATGGAACATAATTAAAAGCACAGTGATTAATCACAAAATAATATGTAATCATATATGGTGAAATATTTACTTCTAATGACAAATAAATGAAATTTTATCTTGAATCATGGTGTAGCATGGGTAACAGTCTTCACGCTGGGTACTTGTAGGTGGGTGTACCTGCATATGGGCGGACCAGCCTGGAGACGGATAGCGGAGCGGTATCTCGGTTCCTAAGACCATCGGAAATATATGTTTTAATTGGTCTTAGGCGACCCCTGTGACAAGGTCGTTCAGGCCCCAAAGGGGTCGTGACTCACAGGTTGAGAACCACTGTTCTGGATGGAGGGAGTGGTTAGGAAAATGCCTGGGGTATAAAGCCATCACTCACTGCCACTGAGTCGATTCTGATTCATAGGGACCCTATAGGACAGGGTAGAACTGCCCTGGGGGTTTCTGAGATTGTAGCTCGCGACAGGAGTAGAGAGCTTCGTCTTTCTCCGTATTTCTCAGGCTGGTGGTTTTGAACTGCTGACCTTGTGGTTAGCAGGCCAGCGTGCAACCCACTATGCCACCAGGGCTTGTCAGTGTATAACGTAGGTTATTAACACGTGTGTTCAATGGGTGCCTCGCTACGCTCTCATCATGTCGCGGACAGGAGTCTGCATTTGGAGATCAACTCCTATTTTGGACTTTCGTCCCCCTGCACATGTTCCTTCCCAGGAAAGGGCACCTTCATCTGGAAGCTCATCTCCGTCTGAGCTGCCCTCACCTGCAGTCACTTCATCGCCAAACCCTTCCTCTCCTCTTGTCAAAGCCTCAATGCAACTCAATAGAGAGTCCAAGAGTGTGTGTGTGTGTGTGTGTGTGTGAGAGAGAGAGAGAGAGAGAGAAGCTGAATGGAAAACTGATATGGAAGTGCGGAGACAACACAGCTAAGACAACTCTGAAGGTGAAATCCAAAGGACTTCGATTGCCAGACGTCAAGACTTACTGAAAAGCCAGTCAATACCAATGTAAAGACAAATAAGTGAGGGGCACGGAATGGACGTCATCCCATGATAATCGATCATTTACATCTCAGCAAAGGCACCGTGTAGCTGGAGAAACAGTGCCTGGTCAGTTCAACGCCAATGCTGACTGGGTGAGAAAAATGAGTAGACTTCTACCTCACGCCATACATAAAGACCAACGTCAGATGGCCTTGGTGAAAGGTAAAGCAGTAAAGCTTTTCTGTGAAGGCATAGGAGACTGTTGTCAGGTCGAGCAACCATTTCTCATAGGATGAAAATATGTTGAAAACAGGAAAAATGGATCAATTAAAATGTGTTAAAATTAAGAATGTTTTGCATTAAAAGAGATCATAAAGAGAATAAACTGGCAAGCCATAGGCTGGGAGCAGACCTTTGCAATCTGTCTAGCTAACAATGGACGCTTCCAGAAAGTATAACGAAGTCCCATGCACCAGATTTGGCCCTCTGTTTTTGTATATAATGTTCTATTGGAACATGGCCATGTCCGCTCCTCGTTGTATTGTCTGTGTCCCTGGTGGTACAAACCGTTAAGGTAGTAGCTGGCTGCAAGATTGGTGATTCAGATTTACCCAGAGAGAGACACCCCAGAAGACAGGTCTGCTCCCAGTGGTCACAGCCTTAAACACCCCCTGGAGCCGTGCGACCTTTGACAATTGGGGTGTCTGGGAGTGAGAATCGACAGGGTGGCAGCTCACAATAAACACGACCGAAATAACGACACCCGCGTGGCTGCTTTTGTGGCACAAGGCTAGAGTCGCGTCATCGTGACGGAAACCACATGGCCCGCAGAACTGAAAAGACGCGCTCGCTGTCTGGCCCTTTCCAGACAAAGTTTGCCAACCCCTGCTGTAAGTCATTCAGAAAAAGATAAGACCATCCAACCGAGAAATGGGCAAGGGACAACCATTTGACAAAAGCAGACGCCAGATGGCCAGTAAACACGGAGCGGTGCTGGACCTCGCCACTCACCAGGGAACTCTGAATGAGATGTTTAACGGGAATTGACATTAGATGCCCAGCAGCAAGGCCCACACTGAGAAACCTGGATGTTGAGAATGGCTAGTATCTCAGAATGCTCGCCTGCCCTGCTGGGCAAACAGGCCCAGTGATTTTTGCGAAACGGGTTGGCCATATCTGCTGTTACCTTGGTCAGGAACATTCCTTGTAACTCAGCACTTCCCTTCTGAAGTCATGGCCCGAAGAAATGTGCCCATGTGTTTTTCATAAGACACGTACCAGAACATTCCCAGCAGCCACAAGCTGGAAACCACCCAGATGTCCATCACTATTGATACCCCCACAGCCTCGGTGAACCCCACAGTCATGAGGGTGAGTGGAAGAAGTCCAGCCCAAACCAGCATAGGTGGTGTGGTTCCAGTTAGGTGAAGTTCAAAAGCAGGCACCTCTATGGGCTTAGTCATCGGCATGGCAGTTATCCTTGGGGGATAGTGAATGGGGCACCAGGGAGGCTTCTCCAGGGGCTGGTAATGCTTACACAGGTGTGTTCACTTTGGAAAATTAGTTGCACCATAGACTTGATGGACGTTTTTTCTTGTGTGGATTTTACACTTCAATAACAAGCTTGCCCCAAATGCATCTATTTAAGGTGACTAGATTTTAACATTGGTAAAGTGGGACACCAGTGATAAAACTCCTGTTCCGTGAAATAGCCACATGTCAGCCGAAAACCATATACCCTAGCTTGTCGTGCATTCTTTCAAAAAATCGGGACTTCTTTAAAATGCCGCGGGACGTGGGAAAAATTGTTAAAAATTGGGACTGTCCCGCCAAAAGCGGGACGTCTGGTCACCTCAATCGAAGTACATCTGTTCACGCACGTGTACAGTATGCACCTGTGTACATGCACACACGCAAGGCATCCTCTTCTCTCATCTGCGTTACTGCCGAGTCTTCTCTGGTTCCCTGGTCTCCTTCCTGCCTCCCCACAGTCTGCTCTCCTTAGGAGGCGGACTAAGGGAGGCTTCTTGGAGCCAGGCCTGTCCCTGTGATGCCTCTGCTGAACCCCGCACGCACGACTCCCTTCTCATGCGCACAGTGGGAGTCACGTCTTCTCTGTAGCCGGTCTGCAGACCCTGCAGGATCTGGTCCCTCTGGGTGCCCTCCCCCTTGTCCACTTGGCCCAGTCTCACTGTCCTTCTCAGAGTGCGGCCAGCAAGCTCCCACCTTGGGGCCCTTGTTCTAGAGCAGCGGTTCTCAGCCTGTGGGTCACGACCCTTTGGGGGATGTCTAACGACCCTTTCACAGGGTTCACCCGATTCATAGCAGTAGCAAAATGACAGTGATGAAGTAGCAGCAAAAATAATTTTATGGTTGGGGGGCAGTGGTCACCACAGCGTGAGGAACTGTACTAAAGGGTCGCGGCATTAGGAAGGTTGAGAACCACTGTTCTAGAGCAGGGGTCCTCAAACTTTTAAACAAGGGGCCAGTTCACTGTCCCTCAGACCCGTTGGAGGGCCTGACTATAGTTTAAAAAAAACTATGAACAAATTCCTATGCACACTGCACATATCTTATTTTGAAGTGAAAAAACCAAATGGGGCAAAAACACCTGGTGGGCCGGATAAATGTCCTCGGCGGGCTGCATGCGGCCCGCGGGCTGTAGTATAGGACGCCTGTTCTAGAGCTTTCTGCTGCCTCGAACATGCTTCTCCAGGCATCCTTCACAAGTCTTTCCTCGCCTTCTTCAGGGCTTTGCTCCAGTGCTGTCTCCTCAGTGAGGCTTCTCGAGAATGCCCCCCCCCACCCCTAAAATCACCGCCTTCTCCGCCTCCAGCCCCGTGTCCACTGCCCTTACTGTGTTTTACTGCGTCAGGCACTGTGTCGGTCCAGGTAGACTTGAGAAACAAATCCAGGGACACTCGTGTGTGTATAAGAAAGAACTTTATAAACAAGAGCAGTTGAATATTGAGAGAATATCGCCGCCCAGTCCAAATCAAGTCCATAAGTCCGATATGAGCCCATATGTCTGATACCAATCTATAAATTCCTCTTCAGACTCGCAATGGTGCCGAATGCAGGAAGATCCCAGGCCAGTGGGTGGGAAGTCTTGTGGATCCAGTGGCCTTGTAAGCATCTCAGCGTTGGCAGGGGTCTCCACGTGATTTTTCCGGGTCCAGAGGTCTGGCTCCATCAGCCTCTCTCCATTTGTCTTCTCCACAGGGATGTCTCGCAGGGAGTGAGCATGTGTCCCGCCTCCAACGAGCTATTTATCTCCTTATTGCCTCCAAATGAGGTTAACAAGCTGTGATTTGATTGACAGGCTAAACTCCACCCCTTCACTCTTAATCCTCAAATTGACACCAGATTATGTAACTACCACAATCACCATCTCTAGGCTTTCATATCAGAAGACAGACTCTCACAGACCTGGGTGTGTTTGCTGCTGTACATGCTCCTGAAATGCTTCCATGACACCCCTTCCCTCCACGCTTCAGCCCCTACCTAGCAGTGTTCCCTGGAGGAAGTGCTGGTCAGGTGTGTGTTGAGTGATGGAATGTGGCCTGGTGGTGGAAGGAGAACTCAAGGGATTGAACGATCTGGATGCCGGATGGATGGACCTCCTGCCCTCCAGCTCTTCATCCAAATGGGCTTCCTTGCAGGAAGGGTCTGTCTAGTAGAAACATAACACACCGTTCCCCACTTTCCAGCAAAGAAGAGTGGGGCTTTGTGGCTTCTTTTGGTCTCTCATCTGGTGTTTCTGAAAAGGAGCTCTGTGGGGCCAGCGAGGCGGGTGTCCCGTTTCACAGACGAGGAGACTGTGGCTGGGAGCGGAGCGGTGACTTGCTCAAGCCACTCGGCCACCAGCCGGAGACCCCGCTCCCGGCCCTGCTCTGTTGGAAGCAGTTGCATTCTGGCGACGCGAGGGTGCGGGGGATGCTGACCTACCGCTGTCTTCCAGGGTCGCGGGGAGCAAGAAATCAACCAAGAGGACCAAATCCATCAACGGCTCCCTCTACATCTTCCGAGGGCGAATCAACACGGAGGTCATGGAGGTGGAGAACGTGGAAGACGGGACAGGTAGCCCCCGCCCCGCCCCCGCCGGAGCCCAGCCCCACCTGCTCCTTGGCCCTCCCTCGGCTGCGTTGACGTGCGTTGACGTGGTTTCCTCCCTTCCTCGAGACCGGGAGGGGGCCCTGGTGGCCCAGGGGTTAAGTGTCTGGCTGCCAACTGAAAAGCCAGTGGTTGGAACCCCCTGGCCGCTCTGCGGGAGAAGGACGAGGCTGCCTGTTCCATCGAGGCCACAGCCTTAGAAACCCTGTGG